ATCACGGACATGTTTTCTTAGGAATTTACATAAATATTTAATGGCTTAGTACTTACTCACATAGCGTCAAGGAAGATTTCTCTCTAAACATTAAAAAGATCTCTTGTCTGTGACACTGCTTGTGATGTAAAGTGACCTGGAATTCGCAGCCTAACTGTTGTACCCAAAACCTGCACAGTGCCAACATCCTGTGCTTTAAACGGCAGAAGTGTACATCTGTTTGTAAAACTTATGTCTTTAGCAAAAAGAATAGCGAAGGTGAAACTGGGGCAGGGGGAAACAATTATGATGGACTGACTAGTAATTGTTTCTGGAGCACCAGAGGGAGACAACTAATGCATTTCAAAGCTGCTTCGTCTAACTTATTTCAGTATAAGAACAAAATAATTTGTCTTTCAACTGTGAATTTATTTTTTCCATCTTTACTAGTGTTACATGGGCAGGTACAAGAAGTTACCCAGGTGCTAACAGGAGAACCTGTGATACTGTTAACAAAAAGTTCCAATTGGACCCTGCATTGAGCAAAAATCAGACCCTGCTCTAACAGAAGTTTCCCCAGAATGGTGGAGGGGGGAAAACATCTCTGAGGTGGACCAGTCCAACCCTTCGGCTTAAAGTAGGGTCACCTAGAGCCAGTTGCCCAGGACCATGTCCAGTCGAGGTCTGAGTATCTCCAAGGATGGAGAGCCCCCAGCCTCTCTGGACAGCTTGGTCCAGTATTTTGGTCATCTTCAGAGTGAAGTTTTTCCTTATGCTTAAATGTAATTTCTTGTATTTCCATTTGTGCTCATTGCCTCTTGTCCTTCTTGGCTGGGGACCACTGCATCTTCCTTGTACCCTCCCCTCAGGTACGGATGAGATCATCCTGAGCCTTCTCTTCTCCAGGCTGAGCAGTCCCAGCTCTCTCAGCCTTTCCTCATAGGTGAGGTGCTCCCGTCGTTTCATGGCCCTTTGTTGGATTCTTTCCAGTACATCCATACGTCTCTGTTACTGGGGAGCTCTGAACTGGACCCGGCACGCCAGATGTGCCTCATCAGTGCTGAGCAGAGGGGCAGAATCACTTCCCTCAACCTGCTGGCAATGCTCTTTCCAGTGCAGGCTGTTGGACTTCCTTGCTGGAGGATGCGTTGCTGGCTCACGTTGAATTAGGACCCCCGAGTCCTTTTCTGGGACGCCGCTTTCCAGACTGTTGGCTGCCAGCATGTTCTGGGGCGCAGGGCTGTTCCTCTTCAGGGACAAGGCTCTGCACTTTTTTTTTTGAACATCAACAGTAAGCTTGAAAAGGAATTGCTAATGGGTAACGTTGCTGGTGCTGATTACAGTGTAGTTCTCTCAGCGGTCAGCGAAAAGAGCTGGTTATCGGGTATTTTGTGTATGAAATATGTGTATAAACTATTTTAGAATTTTTTTTTTTTAGAAATGGGTTATATATAAATATTTTCTCGGAAGATACAATGTTGGTCAAAATCTCAACTGCTTGGATTTTGTAGCCCCTCTGAGCAATGCATTAGGAGTTACTCCACCATTGCACTGACCGACTGCAAAGCCATTGTGGTGCTCAGTCGCAAAGTCATTAAGTCTACCAAGATCTTCCACCTCTGTTGAGATACCTGGCTGTCTCAAGTGCTCTGCGCACCTTCCTTTAATTCTTTTATGAAATTAAGCTTCTGTTAAAAAATGGGAGGCTTACCTCTGGGCTGATTTAAAAACTGGTGTTTCAGAATCAATGTGCAGTAAAGCGCTTTTTTTTGCCTTTTTTTTTTTCGCCTTTTTTTTTTTCCCCTCTCTAGGAAATTTTAAATTGGAAATCCCTGGGCATTCTCTGTTGCAATTAAGTTCTATCCAGCTGTCGCTGATACGGTCTGAAATCCTCAGGTTATTTAGCTGGTTTTTATCTATGATACTGATATTTAAGTTATTATGATATTATCTATCATACTGAGCTATGATACATGCTCATTTAAGAACCGATCCTGAGCAGTGGAGCAAACGTCGATTTCTTTTGATTTGCCTGGAGTTTCTAAAGCTTAGGAACACTTTGCTGTAGAAATTCAAAAGGCTTTGTTGTCTTCAAAGGAGGGCAGAATATAATGCAGTGTATTGGTGCTATCCAGCCCTCTCTGCCTGCAGACAGTGGTGATGTGAGCTTGCTCAGCACGCTCTGGGAGCATGCCTCAGCTGCAAATTAGAGAGAATACCTGGGGATTAAATGTTTGTGCTTGCTCTGCCCTTAACTCTCTCCACAGGTTAAAAAGAGGTGTGTACTTAATGATTTGGCTTTCTGTGATCAGTACCCCAACCCACAAAGAACTCGCTTGCTTGGCAGGGCGGTTGAGCATGAAAGGGAGCGATACGCCGCGGCTGCACCGCGTGCCTTGCTTAGGTCTTGCACTGTGACCCCCCAGGAGAAATGGTGATGAGTTGACAGGCTGGGGGATGCTGCCCTAGAAAAGCTGAGCAGCTTCTCTTGTCCGTGTGTGCAGGTGCTTGCTGCCCAGGGAATGTCCAGTGCCGCCGTCAGGTAGAGAAGGGAGGTCGGTAGGGCGGAGGGCTGCACCGACCAGCCAAGGTTTCGCATCTGAAGGTCCATAGCTTGTTCTGTAGCA